AAAAAGAACAAAATATGTAGGAAGAAATTTAATTAAAAGGGTGAAAGATTAGTAACACTGAAAACTACTCTGTCAGCACAGGGCCTGACCCGGGGCTCGAACTCATGAACCGTGAGATCATGACCTGAGCTGAAGTCGGACGCTTAACTGACTGAGCCACCCAGGTGCCCCAAAACATTGCTAAATTTTTAAAGAAGACATAGGGGCACCTGGGTGGCTCAGTCGGTTAAGTGTCCGACTTCGGCTCAGGTCATGATCTCACGGTTCATGGGTTCAAGCCCTGCGTCGGGCTCTGTGCTGAGGAATAGCTCAGAGCCTGGAGCCTGTTTCAGATTCTGTGTCTCCCTCTCTCTCTGACCCTTCCCTGCTCACACTGTCTCTATCTCTATCACAAAAATAAATAAAACATTAAAAAAGAGACATAAATAAATGGAATTTAATGGCTAGAGGGCTTAATATCATCAAGTGTCAGTGCCAAAGGAGATTGACAAATTCAGTGCAGTCCCTATCAAAATAAAAAGTACTATATATCTATCAAATGAAGTCTGTGGAGTCAACCTCTCAGGTGGGGTTAAAAGACAAAACCTACATGTGTTGTTTATTAAAAACATACTTAAAACAGTGATAAACAAAGATTAAGATAAAGGTATGCATAAGAAAGAAAGCAGGAGTGGCAATATTAATGTGTCACAGAAGGACGAAAGTAAAGTTAAAACACTGAACAGGATTTTATGAAATTATTTACTTGACAGTGTAAGAAGATATATCAAAGACCTGTAGACACCAAAAATAATTTGGCTAGTAATTTAAACTAAGAACCCGTAATAGACTCAAGGAAAATGGGTAAACTTATGGGCATAGTAGGAAATTTCAGGTCTTGTTATTTCAAAATAGGACAGATCTAGCAGACAAAAAGTAAATAAATATAGAGGAAATAGAAAATATAATCCACAGACTTCATTTGATGGATATATAGTACTTTATATACTTCAAAGAGATAATATACATTTTTACAGTCTGAAGCCTCTAAAAATGTTGGTCAAATACGTGGTGCATCGAAAGTATTAAGTTAAAGAAAAGATATTTTATATTCTGCATTACTCAGTAAAATTAGAAATAATGAAACAAATAACTAAAAGATCTTTTTTTTTATTTTTTTATTTTTTTTATTTTTTATTTTTTTACAAATAGTTTATTGTCAAATTAGTTTCCACATAACACCCAGTGCTCATCCCCACAAGTGCCCTCCTCCATGCCCATCCCTCCTCCCCCCCACATCCATCAGTCCTCAGTTTTTGTCAGCATTCAAGAGTCTCTCATGGTTTGCCTCTCTCCCTTTCCCCCACCATTTCCCCCCTTCTTCTCCCGGTTGGTCCTCTGTTCAGTTCCTCCTAGTCCTCCTATACGTGCACACATATGATATTTGTCCTTCTCTGCCTGACTTATTTCGCTCTAACTAAAAGATCTTAATTGGAAATCAGAAATCACATTTCTAGATAAATTTTGGGTTGAGGAGAAAATCAAAACTGAAATTATAAACTACCTAGAAAGCTATAAAATAGAGGATGTTACAAAGAAACTTGTGGATCACTGCATAAGCTATACCCAGAAGAAAATGTCACCTAAAATGTCTTCATTATTAATGAATAATAACTAGAAGGGATATAGTACTCTTGAAATATTAGGGAAATGATAGCAGAGGAAAGCAAAATAAAGGAAGAGGGAATTAATAAAGATAACTGAAATTAATAAAAACTTGTAGACATAAAAATAGGATAAATAAATTTTACTCATTTTGGCTTTCTGAAAAATGATTAATGAACCTGATGAAGAAAAATAAAGAGTGCAAAAATACATGAGAGAAGGAGTGACAAATGAAATATAGCCATGCTCTGGAAAAGAGTCAAAGAATTAGAAGAGAACATGATGTACAACTT